TACATACTCTTCCATTGAAACATTGGTGTGATGATGAATTGTAGCATTGACTCCCGCAAACATCAATACATTCAACAATTGTGCCGAATTCAGTGCAGTATTGTGTAGTCGGATCATAACACACGCTTCCACCGCACAATAATTGTGAGCTAGAACATGAGATGGGTTGCGATTGAGGTACTTTACTTTGAACATTCGATACAGCAAAAAAGGCAAGGAAAATCCACAAACCACCACGTTCTTTCAGACTACTTGATGCAAACATTGAATTGCAATTCGAATTAAATATGTTGCACTAGTTGCTTCTGTAGTTGTGCTCGGTGTTATTTGCTGGTATTTCAATGATAACGTTTAATCTTTTGTTAGAACTCGATTCGAGTTTAGATATACTTCTGAAAAGATCTATAATCACAAAAGGATTTATATTCCAGCACACTTGATTTTATTACTATCTACCAAAATAACAACCATGAAGCACTTCTAGTTTAACAATTTACTACTAGAAAGTAATAAATGTCAAGCATTTATCTCTACTAGCTGATATTAAAATTTCGGTGAATAAAATTTTTCTTTCTTCATTGTTTTTCATAATTGACTTACACTTTTTTGTTAAATCTAACATGTTATGGTAGAAAGTAGATTCAATGTTTGCTAGCTTATTCGGCAAAACTCTCAGACGAGACTCGTCATTCAGACTTTTCAGTACCCATCTTTTAGAATAGTAAATTTTCATTTTAACGCCATTCTATTAGTCTACTGACCCGCTTTCACCGGGGAATTCAGCATCTTTTTAGCGGTTTTCTTTTTCTAGAAAAAGGTAGCTTCGAAAAAAACGACCTTCAAAGGTCTTTGGTTATAGAGAAAGCAATTTTTCTTTTAGAAAACTTATCTATCATGTAATTATCGAGTCGAAAATGCTCTGTATATGTCAAATTCCATACAGAGAATTGTTATTAATTGAATTTGCATCTGGTAGAAAGGATTGAAGAAAAATGGCTTCAAAGATTTTCTTTTGAAAAGAAGGTATTGTTCGCGTTCGGACTGTTGGTACGGTGAGCATCAATCAAAGCTACAGCCTCTTTGTCCAACGCGTAGTAAATGTCTGTAATGTTAAGAGTTTCCCTCATGACCGAAGTTGCGTAAAGTCACTCTCACCATTTGTCGAAGTCAATTTAAATTTTACCTCGTACAATGCTTACGCGTACTCTTATTGTAAGTATTCGAAGACTGTTAAAGAATTGGTCTTTAAGTTACTCGCATTTGTCTTGCTACGAAAATGAACTGAACCGTGTAATGATACACACATATAGAGGGCGGGGATTGTCAGTAAGTGAATAGTTGGGCTAGTCTGTGGGACGATGAGTCATAGCAGGACGAATTCTGTTAAGCACATGCAAGTTTCAGATATACTGTTAGTTGGATATCTGAAGACTGCTCCTGCAACGAGTGACAATTTACCAAGGGGGAAGCTTTTTTTTTGGATTTGAAACCCAAGAAATCCAAAAAAATCCAAAAAGTCGCAAAAAATCCGAAAATCCAAAATTGAAAGTAGTTTTCAGCAATATTCTCCCACCATATTTTCAAGTACTTCGAACATAAATAAGCAGTGTTAAGTCATCATCGCCAATCCTATGGGGAATACCTTGAGTCCTCAAGGGCTATCCTATGAAAGTACCCATAAGTCTTCATGGGCATCCTATGAAACTGCCATAAATCCTCAAGGTCTATTCTATGAGGGTACTTATAAGTCATTATCGCCTATCCTATGGAGGTACCCACAACTCTTCATGGCCTATCTTATGAGAGTACCCATAATCATCATCTCCTATACTATGAGGTACCCATTAGTCCTGAAGTGCTAGCCTATGGGAGCACTGATAAGTCCTCAAGAGCTGTCCTATAGGGCACTTATAAGTGTGTGATGGTTCACGTTCAGTTCGGGGTGTGGGTGTGGGTGTGGGTGTGAGTGAAGGAAAGACCCACAGACACCCACACCCACACCCTGGATCGAAAGTGCATCGAAAAGTTAACAAAAGCTAGGAAAAAACTTCGATGATATCACTAACAATTGGAAACGTTTATGAACGGCTACTAACAGATCTACACGAAGATGATTAAAACACTAAATGCTGACGAAGACTGATATAACTATGTTTCACAGTTTGAGATCTTACCTCAGCGACCATTAGACTAAACCCCCTCCCATAATAGAAGCCCACGGGGGCTTCTAAACTGTCCAGCGTCCAAAATTTTCGGAGGTGGCTTCTATTATGTCCCACGATTTTTCAAAGATTTCAAGTACCAAAGTTTTTCAAAAGCGTCAATGGGATTTTCAGAGTTTTTACAGGTTTTGCGAAGGATTTTCAACGAAATAGTGAGATTTTAATACAGACAAATAAGAATTTGATACATTTTTACCTTAAAATCTTGTAATTTTTAAAGTTTTTCTATGAAAAGACAAATAAAAGTTTCCAAAAAACTCTCAAAAAATTTTTAAAATGAGAGGGCTTCTAATATGTCTGGCAAGTTGACTCCTCCAGGATGGGCTTCTAATAGGGGAAGGGCTTCTAATATGAGAGGGACTTCTATTATGGGAGGGGGTTTAATGTATATAGTATACAAACCATTGAAATCACATAGAAAACTCCCCAAACCTTTAAATCTACTTTAGGGCAGTACTACCAAAACATCGACACTGAAAAGACACCCAAACCCAACTCTTTCATTAATTTCTCTTAATCAGACCTCGCAACAATATCTATATTCGAAAATGCCAAGAAGTAATACAGATAAAACTAACTGTTCCATTTCTTTTCCTCAAGCGGAGGTTGAACACCGCTTGGAACATTAAAAGAAGCACAAGAAAAAGGCTTGAATGGAAATATTTTCTTCTTCTTCTCTCAGGCGATACTCACGGAATATTTCGACAATGAAATGAAAAAGTAGAAAAACGATTTAAACGAGAATATTTTGATACTCTTTCTTTATATATATACTCATCGAATACTCCTATAACGAAATAGACAAGAAGAAAAAGGATTTAAATGAGGATATTTGATACTCTTTCGCTGAATAGATATCGAATATTTCGAAAACAAAATGAAAAAGAAGAAAAAGGATTTAAAGAAAAACCTTGATGCTCTTTCTTCCAATAGATATTCGCCGAAAATTTTGATAACGAAATGAAAAAGCAGATGGAGGATTTAAAGGAAAACATTCGATACTCTTTCTCTATATAGATATTCATGGAATATTGCAATAACGAAATAAAAAAAGAAGAAAAAGGTCAAGGGAGAAATGGCAGATTCCAGGACTCCAAACGCATGTGAAGTTCCACGATCTCTGCTAACTGACACATACGTTTTTCTTTCAGATATGATTATTTATTAGCAAATAACGCGTTGCACTGCGAAAACTCATAAAGAAATTGAAATCAGCGTTACTAAAGTTTCTCCTAAATGTGCAGTCATAAAAGGATCATTCCACTCATTGGTGACATCTGGTATAAAGATATAGCTATACTCATAATGCAAGAAAACTTTAAAACGAAAACTGAAAGAGATGTAAACTACTGTAATCAATCTAAGTTTTGTACGTAATATAAAAGGGTGTGGGTGTGGGGGGGGGTGTGGGTGTGGGTGTGGGTGTGGGTGTGAGGTGTCGATGTGCATGAGGATATAAGTCCAGTATTCTCTCTAACCCACACCCACACCCACATCCTCACACCCACACACCCACCTACCCACACCCACACCCACACCCCACACCCCACACCCACACCCCACCCACACCCGCATGTTCTTCTGGTTGTTGAAGGCGGTGATTCTTCGTTTTCTTCTTCCTTCTTTTCTTCAGTGTCACTAACACCAGCACGATATTTTGTTTTTAATTTAGACGATGGTTGAGAAACAGGCTGTTTTCGTTTCTTATTTGAATTTGCTTTTGCTGATAATGAACGTGATGGTTGTACAGAATGTTTTTGAAGAGTGTTGATGATAGAACAATATTCGAACATATTGATGATGACTTGGAATTCTAGAATTTTCATTTCGAAAATACGAAAAAAAAAAGAATGAAGAATTTAAAAAATTATATTTAAAAAAACATCAGCTGTAGTTGATGAAATTTCTTCATTAGAAATATTTTTATTTGTTAATGATGATGTTCGATTTTGAGTATCTATTATTTGTACTTTTTGTTTTAATTCACCTTCTGGTATAGTTTCAAGTTTTCGCTTGCTGAACAATTGAAAAATTTTTGAAAATATTTTATTGAATGGTATTCTTTTTAAATTTTGTATATACATATTATTCATAACATGAGTATTATCTGGATATGGCCATGCTTCTAATTGAGCATATGTTAATAGTGCAGCATTACCAGTATAAGGTAAACAACGCCATTTTAAACATTTATCACATTGAATAAGTGTTGGCACGGCTTCTTGATGGTATTTAACAACTTCTGAATCATTTGATGGTGGTCAATCAACTTGATTATCTTGATAACCTATAAGAGAAAATATATAGAAATAAATCAACAATCACCATAAGTTTCCCAAAATTCTTTAACATAATTTTCAATTCTAGCATCAGACCAATATTGTTGTATATATTCATCCATACTTTTAGATAGAAAATGATTTTTTTTTTCATCAACAAATGATCGTCTATTATGTGTTGGCTCAAGTACCATTGAAGGTTTACCAACAACATCATGACAATATCTATTATGGAAATAATAAAACAAAGTATATAAAAATTTTATAATAAGAAGTAAAAAGTTTAAGTCTAACTGAAACAACACATTAGAAGTTTTAACTCATTGAATGTGATGTCGATTTTCTTTTTAGCTGGGAGTAAACAAATGAAAGTTTCTTCTTTTTTTTCTCAGGAGAACTAAAACTAATTTTTGTAAACTGATTCAATGAGCATATAATTATATTTGGAGAAGAAAAGTGTAGTTCATCCTATATATTACGATGACATGTTTCCTAGAGATCTAACTAATTGAGTTATTTGGATTCATTGTAATTCTTTTTGATCAAATCAATACATTCACTTCCACAGTCTTTTTATTTTGTTGTCTAATTTTTTCATATATTTTAATAAATCTATCACAATTATAAACAAAAACTTTATCAGCTGCATAATTTTGAATATTTAAATCAAAAACAAAAGTTAATGTTTTAGTTGTATTCATTTCTAATTTTTTTTTCCTAGCAAGTCAATTATGTAAACGTGTTGCTAAATCTTTTAATTCAATAGTATTAAATTGTAATTTTCGTAATGATGCAACTCGTTGAATATAGATAATTTCTCAAAATGTAATTAAACATGACCAAAATATTCATAATAAATATGATATTCAATTATATTTATATTGTTCATTTTATATGACAACTGTCTTTACTAAAAAATAAATCTTTTCACTGTTTGCAGATTAGTGCATCATGCGCAAAAAACTTATGTGTATTTTACAACTGATTAATTATCATTTTCCTATCTTTCTAAGTTAGAAAAAAAAGAATTCTTGCTTAGAAAGCTTCTATATCATATAGAAATCTTTAATTTCCTGCATAGAACCAATTGTTTTTAAAATCAGACAAAAAATATCACATTCTACTGCTATCTATGTTTATCTTATTTAAAATAAATTCGAAGGAAAAACAAGTCATGAAGAATTAGTTATCTCATATACGAATAATTATTTGTATTGAGTAGAATGATACGAAAGAAAAACCTCAAAATTTAAAATTTGTCAAAAAAAAAATTTTTCATATTAAGTCGATCTCGATCATACAAGATATTATATTTGAGTTTATTAAGATAACTGAAAAGAGACATAACTTCCATGGACTTTTGTTACATTTTATGTTAAAGTTACAATAATTCATCAACAGCAATAAATAAAAGTTTTTCATCTTGTATAACCATCAAACAACGAAATGTTGCAATGAAGCCATATCACACCACTTTGTGAGATTCTTATTTTTGTTATTACTTTTCGCAGTCTAATATCAGTTACTCATTAATGAAGAATAAATTTCGACGAATAGTATTTCGTTTATGTATAATTGTACACAGACATATCTAAAGACAGGTTTAACTATACAATAGATAATCTTTTTGTTTTGGCCATGAAGAGTATAATTATATGTAGAAGATTTTTCGAAAATTTTATCTTAAAAGAAAAAGACAAAAAACATAATCTAATTTCAGCACGACGGATAAATTGAAGGTAATCTATTGGTATTGCAGTAATAATTCTTATAAGTGTGTCTATCCGAGTATAGTAAGCCAATAATAATTCCATTGAGAATTTCGTTGATTACAGCAGATTTTTGTCAGAATTCTGAATTATCAGCAGAATAACAACAGAAAATCTGAGATTCTCGACTCTTTTATAAAATATGAATAATTTTCAGAAATTGATGTGCAAACAAGTGTATGTGTAATGAATGAAAATTCTACTAGGGTATCAGAATTTTGATTTGGAAGTAAAAATCAGGGTATATAGTGTAGTACACAAGTGTATTAGGATAATTTAATAAATTATCAAAATTCTTGAATTCTGCTACTGCTGTTAAAAATACAATTTTTTTGCCTGTGTACATGTGTTGATTAGTAACAACAATTCTAAGACAATACAGTCACAACAATAAAAGAAGAAGAATGTTGTTTTTTGGAAGAGTGTGAGTAATACTATGTTAAAGAGTTCGAAAAAACAACTGGTTGTCACAGCGACATTGGTGATGAAATGTAGAACTCACATATATTCTTTCGTGTACAGGATTTACTGCCGCGGGATTTACTGCCGTAAACAATTTTCACAAGGCGCGCTTTGCTTTCATGCGAATTCTAAAAAAAATTAATTAACATATTTGTTCACAACTATTTTTCCTTTTATGGTCTTTTTCATCCCAACCCACCCCCTTGCTCTTATTAAGGATTTAAGCGATTTAGAAAAAAGAAAATTATATGAAATAGTTGTTAGATTTATATTTTAGCTCGAATCTGCTTTTTTTTATTATGGGAAAAAAACATTTGAATGTTATTCTCCTTTATACGATATAATATTCATGTAAAGAATGAATTTTTACGTTTCAGTACTGAATTGCTCTTTTACCATTAATCGATCAAAAAAAATGAAATAAATCGACTCTTATTGTGTCGATATATACATGTTTATTCTGTGAGTTTTAGTGGACTAGATGAATGAAATTGTTTTAAAAATTCATCAGAATTTAATACGTTATGATAAATATTCTTTTTTCGAAATACAATACCAATTTTATGCAGAATTATAATCAGGGATGTGCGGCCCATGGTGTGCAGAGGGTGCGCCCCCCTCCACGTTTAAAAAATTATCAGTTTTTCCCAGCGAAAGTCATACATTTTATTCAAAAAAAAGATCACAAAATGGAAAAAGAACGTTTTTCATCCCTCCACGTTTTTTTTTGAAGCACATTTCTGATTATAATGTAATATATTGATTAATATAATATAATAAAAATGAATCAATGTATCATATCACATAAAAAGGTTTAAAAAATGATGATATTTAAAGGAAAAAAATGGCAAATAAAATCTATACAACTCATGAGTTTATATGTATATAGGACAGATTTGATAGAATTTTAGTTTTCTTGAAATAAATTCTTTAATAAAAATAATTGTATATCATAATATATAATATAGTTATACAACAGTATTAATGTGAATACTGAATCATTTATTTTAATTTGAAATTCCTTGGCTATTAATGTGTTCTTAAATTTTTTAAGCAAAAAAAATACGTATAAAGTGTTGTCGTTTGTCTACATATGTATGTTTCTAGTTGAATTTTATTAAGCACTTATTATTTTCATCTCTTTTTTCTTTTTTAAATTAATTGATAAATCTACTTATAGTATTCTACTTCACTATAAGAGTCATAGAAATCTATGACGAATTCTCAGTAAAACAAAACATTATATATTTACTGAATAATAAAATAAAGTAAATAAAAAGAAAAATATTACGTTAAACATGACAATCATCAACAAATCGATTATTTTTAGAATTTCAGATGATATTAAAATTTTTCGTTATAGTAGAAATTTTTCTCTACACGAAGAAAAGAATTCTATTTGTCTTTTTTGTTTTTTGAATGCTTTTAGTATTAATACACATTTAAATCACTTAAAAGAAAATAGCATTATTTATTTGAAATAATATTATTCTCCATGTTTTAGGTAGTAGACTACTTATTACAGTACCTAATACAGAACTAGCTGTCGTTGCGTGATAATGCCATGATATATTTTAATATCCATCAATCGAGATATATCTACTATGGTGCTATCAAATTGATTTAAATATTCGAAAAGAAAAAACATACAAAAATAGAATACTATTTAATTCATCCGACTATGTAAATATTTAAAAATTCAAAAAAAAAATACTTAAATAAATACTAATTCATTTCATACCGGCTTTTTCTCTTGATGCTACATTAATAGAAACACCGACAAAAATAAAACAAGTTAGAATCAAATATATAATTCCTTGTTTTTGTTATAATTGTGATGGTCTTATTATAAGTAAGATAGTGCTGGATTTTCTGAACTGTTATTGACTAATTTATTAATACAATTTTTTATGTTTCGTTCATCTTCCATGCACAAATTTCTTTCTTTCTCTTTTAAATATATCTTTTCTATTTTTTATAATTTCTATTATTATTATAACCTGTATGATTTTCATATTCAAAACCTATTATAAAACAATGAAATTCTCTTCAATTTTTTTAGAATAACATTTAAAATGATTTAAACAAACCAAGTATTATTGAACATATATTTAAGTTTAAGGATATCAATATTGATTTCAAAAATTATATGATATTATTCTACAACAACATTTTAAAACAAAAACAATTATAAAACAGCATTGGTAAAATATATTAATATTAATAGCATAGACAATATTATATGAACCTTTAAAAATCAAATATACTGAATTGAATTTTGGTATTATCTATTTTATATCAAAAAATATCTATCTAGAGACAATAACATTTTATATGAACTTGTTTTTTGTTTTCTTTTTAAGTAATTATAAATGATAGATTACCAAATAAACATTTAAAATTAACAAAATTCAAATAATCTACCACGACAAACTCAGTTGATAAATAATCACTATATTAATAAACAATATATAAATAATTAATTCTTTTTTTAGATCATATATAATATCAACTAGTCAAAATAAACGATTCACAACATCAAATTAATAATTACTCTTTTTGATATTTATATAAACATATATAACAATTAGGTTTATCATCTTAAAATAATGCTTGCTGCCAATCACCTGAAAATCTTGTGTTTATACGTATTAAAGCATTGGTTTCTATCGACACTAAATATAATAGCACCTATTCTATATACATAAAACAGTCGACCAACAACACTACAATAGAAATTCACTCAATAAATATAATAAATAATATACATGAAATATGATTCTTTCAAACTTTATTGGCACCTAAAAATTACAATATACGTTATCATGTGAACCAAAATTTATCAAGTTTTGTATACCATGATGTGTTCAAAAAAATGCATGCTATTTAAATTAAAAAAAAATTGTATACAAAATCATTTTTTTTTTAAGAAGAACAAATTCACAAAAATATTCAATTAAATTCTATTATAATAATATCAAGTAATATATTGCTTGATAAAAAAAAATGCTTAATTATAAATTTATTTAATAAATAATCATATGCATAATAATATTTTTTAATAGATATACGTCTATGTATATATAGTATAATATAAAAGTTAAACAGTCATTCCAATATTATTTCAAGTACATTCGAATCTCCACAACAACAGATATATGTATATTTACTACGAACAATCATATCTACATCAATTCCCTCACCACATAGTTCAAACAAGTCCAATACAAGAAAATATTTAAAATATTATTAAAGTTAATAACTATTTTTGTTCTTATTATTATAAATAGTACGAACAAAAAATAAAAATAAAACAGCATTATTTTCATTCATGTTTAATATATAATCAATAAATTTACTGAATAAACTTGTATATCATATCATTTCAATTGCTTTCAATATAGACTTAATTTATATTTAAAAAGAAAATTAAATAGATTTATCATTTCATTAATTTATTCAATTTTCAAATATTGAAAATAACGAAGTCCTGCACCTTTTAAAAATTTGTCTCTAGTAATCTGATTTTTTTCTAATTTATCCCATAAACGAGATAATGATTCTTCGGCTATGCAAGTTTTTTTTCGTCTTTTTGGTGGAGGTGCTCCGGCTTCATGTCTTTGTCTTTCATCTGATGCTAACAATTGTTCATGTTTGAACATATCAATACAGATGTAAATATCATTATGAGGTTTCGTTGATCTTTTTTTCCATCGATTATGACGTCCTTCAAGATAATTAATTGTACGAGGATTAAGATTTCGATAGTGATTATACATAGTTGGTGGAAATCTACTATTAATACCATATGTTTTATCATGGTAATCTAAAAATGAATCGATTTCTTTTTCATATAACAATGGTTTCGTTGAACGTAGAAAATGATTTGCTTCGTCCATATCGGTTTCTGGTAATAGTGCAATTGCAGCAAAACTCCTGAACCATATACGTAGAGATTCATCGTCTTGGTATGCTGTTTTTAAACTTAAATTCATGAACTTTCGAAAAAGTGCTTTTCCATAATGAAAAAGACATCCTTTTACCTATATAGATATTAAAGAAAAAGGTATTAAACTATTATAAAACTGTAAAATTTTCCTTTTTAGTTTATTTTATTCTTATTAATTACATTTTAGAAAGTCGTGTTTGATTCATAATTGACTATTTTATCTTTTCTTTTTTAAAATAAACTATTGTCGGGTTTTTCGTGAATTTGGTCAATCAAATAATTTAAGAAAGGAAATAATTCAAAATGGTTTGGATATATGAATAAATTTAAAATAATTGCATATTTATCTTACTTTGATATGTGGATAATGTTTATCGAATACATTTTTTACAGCAAGTTCATAGTCAATTGTAATACATTCAAGTTGTATCATATTTGTTTTTTCTTTTATTTTGTTCATTAATATTGAAAATAAATCATGATAAGTTGATTCAAGTTTATCAGCTAATAATGCAAAAACACAAGGCGTTGATAGTCCTTCATCAAACGTATGTATACTGTATATTTGATAGAATATAGATGGAGAAGTATAGAAGGTACCATCACCATACCACCATTTTTGATATGCTAAATATTCAATATCATGTTCAGATGAAAAAATGAAGCCTCGTTTTCCACCTAAAAGTCCATCAAATAAAAGAAATTTACTATTGTTTTCGGTTAAGGTATATAATGATGGAAGTGGAAAAGGTAAATCATCTAGTAATTTTGGTAATGGTGGTCTAGTTTTTCGACGTTGTTTAGTAACAGTATTTTTTAATGTTTTTACTGTAGGTAATTTTACTACTGAATCTGTTATTCCTTCTTTTGTAATCATATTCGCATAAGAGAATTCGACTATTTTTTCAATTGGTTCAGAACTTGTTTCTGCTTGATGTTTTAATTTATGACGAAGTTCCAAAACTTTAATGTCATTTAAATCAATAAGATGATTATGGTTTTCGTTTACTCTTAATATAACATCGTTATTTGAAACTGAAATACTTGCAGGACAATTTCCTTTTGTACATCTCCATAAAGTCGAATTTACATTATTTTGTTTTAAACAATATCTTGTTCCATGAAATATTAATTGACGTTTTCCATGTGTTGAATTAAGATAACTAATATCTTTATTCATAGATTGTAAAGCTTAATTATAAAACAAATATATATATATATTAAATCTTATTAAAAATTTAAAACTAGAATATCTTGGAATACTTTTCTTTAAGTCTGTAGAACATCATTATTTAAATGATGAAACTCATTACAATAAGACATATAGGAAATTTATTCTGACAAATATACAAGAATAAAGCTATATCAAAAAATAAGTTAATTCATTAAAAAAAACGTACTCAATTGATTTGTAGTAGTAGACGACATATTGTATTAATTTCCTAAATGAAAAAAAAGACTAAACGTCGATATACAATATATCAAATAGGTATATTCTTTACTTTGTTTTTTTTAATTGCTAATTGATAAATAAATTATATTTTGTGAAATTATTTTTCTTGAAATCAATCATTTTTTTCTTAAGAAATATGACATATTATATAAATAATAGTTTCATATTTATCGATCAAATTATACAATCTCAATCGGTTATCAGGTAGAAACGATGGACAAGGAATAATAGAAATAAATTGATTGACTGATGTACGATAAATTAATCAATGGCGCTTTTGAATATATAGCTTTTTGAGAAGTCTTATTTTACGTCTTTAATGATATAATTACTTAAAATCAAATTTTAGTACCCTCATTACAAAAATACTAATCATACTCAATTTTTTTATGAGATATTTTTTTTGTTTTACTAATAAAATCTTTATTTCTCCCCTTTTATCTGCTGTATTATTTAATAATGCATGAATAAAATGTTCTTATGCTTCTACTATATATGATTTATAGAAAAGAATCCTCATATTGAACTAAGTATAATGTTATCTTCAGATCTAGTAAGTTGTTCTATATATCGTTTTTTCGCTCTTATTTACTACTTGAGTTGATGCTAATTAGATAAGCAGTTGGCGTCGTTTCTTACTCAAACAAACATCTATTTCTTGATTATTCGTTTCTAATTGTATCAAATTTACTATTCATCGTTTAGTTCGAGTAAGACTTAATTTATGATTTTATTTTAATCTTTTTTATATATTATTTATGATAGAAAATATATGGAAAAGTCTGAAAGAATACGAAGAATGAAAAAGTGCATTAGCGAAAAATTGGATTTAAAACTTATTTTGGATGAATATTCTTTTTAATAATAAATGAGATTGCTCAAACGACCAATGTTCCAATACATTACATTTTCCTAACCACCATCATTGCCATTTGTCATTGGTCAATGGGAGCTACATTAAAAGGTGCACAGGCTTATAGTACACCATTGATTCTTTTTGGTATTTTGTGTGGTGGCAGTGGTATGTTGTTCATATTTGAAAACAGTTAAAAAGCAAAAAAAAAAATTGACAAAATGTTTGATAAAAAAAAGAATTATAAAATTTTGAAATATCTTTGACTTATAATATAAGTATAAATCGAGAAAAAATTGAAAATTTATTTTTATTTTTAAAAAGTATCGTATAAAATTTTTATTATTATTAAAAAAAAAGAAAACAATAAAATACCATCAACAGTTATGATAATATATATTGATAATTTATTGTTTATTTTTGAAGGTTCTAAAAAGAGTGCACCTATCAGAATCGTAAAAGAAGCATGTGAAGCAGTAGAAGCATTAGACAGTATTACTGTACAGAAATCTTCCATCAATGCATCAGCCAATATGGAATCTTTATGTTGCGAATTGGAAAAACAACCAAATCTAATACAAGTTTGATATAATTTCCATTAATTAAATATGATAAATTAAATTATTATAGCTATGGGATGAATTTTCAGTGTTTCTTGGACTTTTTGGTAGCACAAGAATTGATAGAACAGCATATGATCGTGGATTGATGTGCGAACTTTATAGTCCAACTGGTATTGTACGTCGACAATTAGTTGCTCGTCAAAATGTAATGATAAAACCACGTCTTAATATTGTTGCTGCTGGTCATCCAAAAAAAACCATTGAATGTTTAACAGGTCTATAATTAAAAAAAACAAATAAATGTCTTATACTTTTTTTTAATATTGAAATAATATCATACATACTTTGAATAATTCTATTTCAAATACATTGTTAACATATGTTTTTATAATTTCATATATTAGGAATTGGTCTCAAGGACCAGGATCAAAATGATGATGGTCTTTTTAATAGATTTTTAATTGCAATAGCATATAAAAATCGTCCTAATCGTGATATGGTTGAGTCAGACAATAAAATTCCCAAATTTAAACATCTATTTTACATAACTAAAAAATTGCATCGTAACATTGAAGAATATCATTATAATGAAGAAGGTATTTTTATACTATTACTGTAAAAATTAATTTATTATTTTCTTTATTTTATTTAGCAAAAAAATTTTTGAAAGACGTAATCTATAATTACGATGTTGTTTCGTCCGATAAATCAAACGATGACGATTTCATCGCAAGGTAATTCATCTGTTTATTTTTTTCTAAAATAAATTCATCGAGTTTCTAAATTGTAGTCTCTATCAAAAGTCCATTGAACGTGTGGAGCGATTATCATTGGCTCTACATATTCTTAAAAACAGTGCTCGTCGTCTATTTAGCATGACTGAAAATATTCAATCATTTGCTATTTTCGATGATCGATTTAAAACAATGTGTACAGAACAACAATTAACTGAAGCTGAACATTTAATCGATTATGATACAACGTTCCGAGCATCGTTACTGACAAAATTTTATCTTAATCAGACAAAAATACTTGCTGGTTATGATCCTGTAACAGATAATGTTATAGGAAATAACAAATGTGAGTAATACTTTTTTTTGCTTTCACCATTAATCAATATCATTTATTTATGTATATAAACTTTCGAAAAAATAAAAATAAAAAAAATAAAAAGAAAGGGCGAGGTGTCTTACAATTCATTTTTAATATGAATGATGATTTTCAATGATAGATAATAATCAAAAGAGTAGAAAAAAATCTTTTAATAGAAGAAAAATTTCTCTCTAGTGGCTATGTCACTCGTATAATCTTATTCTTTAGATACAATTGATATACCTCCAGAAGAGGTCAACCATATAAAAAAATATATTGAAAATCATCCATGTGATCGTCTTCTCTTATCATCATTACCTGCAAATCTTAAAAGAAAAATTAGTAAAGATCAATATTTAAGTATATTGCGAGAAATGGAAGAAGAAGGGATAGGAAAAATTGAAGAAACAAATAATGTTAAAGGTCCTAAAGGAATTACGTTTACAAAAAAGAAAAAAATCGACCAAGAAATAACTGTATTATCATCATTACCTGAACAACAAACAACTGAAGCTTCATCTATAAATCATGAACTAGGAAATCAACCTTCATCAACAAATCATTTTTCTAATTGAACATGAACATACTATGAATAATTTTTTTAAATTTTTAGTTCAATTAATTTCGCTTGCAAATATTTTGGTTGAAATTAAATACGTAAATACAATATAAAGTTTTCTTTTCAGATTAAAATGGATATCGAACAATCAGTAATCGACATGTATGAAGAATTTATGAACAAGATTTCAAATGATGTGTAAGATATTTCATTTATTATAAATACATACATATGTGTTGTAGGCAAAATTAAAATTAAGGCAAATTTTAAATTTGCCTAGACAAAATTGAAACTTCAATTCTGGATAAGCAATGTCTAGTCAAAATTTGCCTGAATTTCAATTTTGCCTACAACATATATATATATGTATTTTTTTCTTTAAAGTAATATTCAATCAGCATCAACTGTATCAATTGAACAAAATTTAAATAATGATATAGAAAATCCTAATGATCATAGTGATGGTAGTACTAATGGTGCTACTAATATTAATGGTAATCATAATGATGCTATTAATCATAATAATAATGGTAATCATAGTGATTGTGTTAATCATAATGATATTGCTAATCATAATGATAGTTTAAATCCTAATAATAATGAAACTAATAATCATTCTCTTAATCATAATATTAATGCTAATATATCTGGTAATATAAATAATAGTATTAATCAAAATAATAATAGTAATACAAATAACATAATTAATCGAGATCAAAATGAAGAAACAGAAGAAGATATTGTTGAAATCATCAATATACAAAATAGTATGTTTTATAAAGAAATAAAAAAAAAACAAAATATAATATTTCTAAGAATAAGAATATTTCTAATAAAAAACCTTTTGCATGTATTAGAACAGATTTTCTTTCATTGTCTAATGATTAAATATTCTATTTCCATCTATAACCTAAGAATTTAATTTTAATGTTCATTAAAGATAATGAACAAAATTTATTAAAAATCAATCAAATTAATATTGATATCGATTTTCCGT